GTTTTGGGAGACACAGTAACTAGGTTTAACCAAAACCAGTTTTCCAGAAGTAAACAGTCAGACTGGCTAAAGCTGGAAAAGCTCATCATTGTGATTCGAACACAAAACCCAGAACCCTTAGTGCAGACTGATTTCCAAAGGGTAATGTGGGGTATAGTGAGTTTCAGAGAAAACAGACCCATCAGTGTATGTGACAACTGGATGCAGCTGTGTGTGAGTGGCAGTGCAGGAGGAGGGGCCCTAGAACTTTGTGGTGTGATGAGGGGCCCCAGAACTTTGTGGTGTGGTGAGGGGCCCCAGAACTTTCTGGTATGGTGGACACACACTCGGGATTGGTGCTGGTGGTGGTCCAGCAACAGCGTGAGTTCCTTAGGCCTTGGACCTGTTTCCCCAAAAAAGGTGATGTTACGATATGCCAGTTATATTGTAGTTGAAAACATAGGTGCACCAGCCTCACCCCCCACCCCCCTTGAGCCTAGCCTCTTCTTGTTGGGGTCTGGTGATGCTTTCTAGGCTTGCGCCTCTGAATGCTTCCAGTCCCTAATCAAGGAGAAAATACCACTGTGAGTCTGGGCACTTCTTTCCCCCACAGAGAAAACAGCGATATGGGCTGCATGTCCCGAAGGGCGTGCCAGAAGGCCCCTGTGCTTTAGTTCTCTGTGGCCTTTCCTGAAGACACACAGCTCCCATGCCTGCTTCCAAGTGGCCAGTGGCTGAAGTGCAGCCTGGCTGAAAGTTCAGTCACGATGCTGCTACTGGAAGTGCTGTGTCTCTGGCAGGGGGTTAAGTCCCAGACCCACCACCTCCTCACTCTGCCACTGTGTGGGCAGCCAGCAATTAGGGAAGCTTAGGAACTTCAAGTCCCCACTGCAAAAGTCTGTGGGCCAGTGGGCCTGTAAAGCACTCTAAACTGAATGATTTTTTCCCTCTCTTGTAGTTGCCTCTTTGGTGTGGTTGACTGGAGGGCCCCACGAGGCAATGAGGGAGAGGGCCCGCCTCCACAGCTCAGCCTGGACTGATGCAGTTTCCCTTTGGGCTCTGAAAATGCAAGCAGGGTGTTTTGGCCTTTTCCCCCTGGTGAATCGGGCCTGGGGCTCCCAGTTCTTGTCTCAACGAGGAAAAGTTAGGTAGAAAGCAAGAAGCGTACTGACAGATAAGAGGAAGGACAAGAAAGCTCTCTGAGCAGAGAGAGATCCCCAATGGGTAGCTGCTGAGGGGACGAGAAGTAGGTGTTTACGTGGATACAGTGGGGTTTTGGCCACTGGGAGTTAGGACACTGTGTCTCTTCCTGATTTTGGGGGGCCTGTGGGGCCTCCTAGGTTACTGAGGCCCAGTGAGTTTCCCACATTATTGTGCTGCTGTGTTGATGTTCTGAACATTTCATTTTTTTAATGTTATATATATTTTCTTATATCATTCTGCATTTTGTACTTTTTTTTTATCTCTGTTATAATCCCCATGGACTTCCCACCACCAGTTCACCCATGTGACATCACCCAACCACTATGGAAAGCTGTTTGGAGGTTTCTCAAACTGCTAACAATGGAGCTTCCATATGATCCAGCAATTCTACTCCTAGGTATCTACCCAAAGAACATAAAAAAATTAAAAGGACACCTGTACCCTGACGTGTATTGCTGCTCTATTTACAATAGGGAAGATGTGGAGTCAAGCCAAATGCCCAAAATAGAAGACCAGATCAAAAAGATGGATCAATGGATTCCAGCCAATTGTTCCTATTCAGATAGATAAACAGGCTTGGAGGCTTGGGGCACCCTGTTCCTAACTCACTGCCTGTACCCATTTCCTAACTTCCTCACCCACTGGGAGCACAACACAGAGGACTTTGCACCCCCATACTTTGATGGGCCCTGTGAGCAGAGAGAAGAGGAACTTGAAAGGGGCGTTGACAGCTCCCAAGGGGCTGGGTCTCCCACACTGCCAGCATCTCCTTCCTTCAACTCTGCCAGATGCCACCAGGAGCATCCTGCCCAGGAACTGCATCTTCTCTTGCCACTTCCACATGACCTTGAACTCACTCTCCACTGGAGATCTCAACATAAATGTTTTCTTTATTCTCTGGTTTGTGGGTGCACTGGCTAACATATATTGGGTACCTGTAGGTGCCAGCCACTGTGCTAACTTATCCCAGCTAATCCTCACAGAAATTCAGCGAGGTGGCACTGCCAGCGCTGTGTTTGACAGTCTTAGAGGTGCTGTTCGGTGCCCATGGTTATGCGACCACCAGGTGTAAGGCTGGGATGCATGTCATATGTATGTGACCTCCACACCCCATATTAACCTGCAGAATGTTGCAATAGAAATTTTAGGTTTCTGTTTATGTAAATATTTCTCAAAGTGCTTGTTACCTCCCTGCAAATAATTCACGTCAAAAAGAACACCAGCATGCTCTTATTAAAACTCTCTGTGTGGTACACTTGTACTTAGGAAAGTAATCAATGTGTTTAAGCTGTCTCCACTTCACTCTCTGTCTTCAATTTCTTTTAAATATTTATTAAGTTATGCATACACTACTGGAGTACAGACCAGAGGTTCGGGGGCGGTGAGAGAATTCACCAGAGAAAGAGTGGGGAGCAGAGCAGGCAGATCATCAAAGTACACTGCTGAGAGGAGCAACGGGCAGGTCAGGAGAGGTCTACCACGCCACGTGGGTCACCTCCCAGGCAGGCGGGGATCGAACTCATGCAGAAATGGCTTTAGCTTCTTAGTGCTGTGCTTTAACCCACTGCGCCACCAGGAAAGGCCTCTGTCTTCAATTTTTATCTCTCAATTTCCACCTCTTCAGCCTTGTCCTTGACCCCTCAAATGCCCAGCACAGGACCTTTGCACAAATGTTTTTTTTCTTTTTCCCCATCTGCTCTCTGGTCCACTCTGCTCCTCCCTCAGGCCTAGGGTAAAGTACCAGCTCATCAAGGAAGCCTTCCCCACTCCTACAGTGTGAATCCTGCCGCCATGCTGTTGTGCTTCTTCCAGATCTTAACCCTGTTTCTAAATTGAGTTCAACCTTGAGAGCAATCATTTCTTTTCTGTCTGTCTCCCCAACAAGTGCCAATTCTCGGGGAGAGAGGGGTTTTACACTATGCCAGGCACATGATATTTACTTAACAAATATATCTTGAACTAATCTAAGCACGGGGGTTAGGTGGTGGCATGAGGAGAGAGGGATTGGAAGCCATTTAATTTACAAAGCTGAATCTTCCAAGAGCTTTCTGGTGGCTAAGGGGTTAAATCTCAGCACTATCATAAATGTGGTCTGACTGCCATCCTCAGCCAGGCAGCTGACCCACATGGCACAGCAGACCTCTCCCGATCCACCCACTGCTCCTCTCAGCAGTGTATTTCAGTGATCTGCCTATTCTGCTCCCCACTCTGTCTCTGATGAATCCTCTCACCCCCCACACCTCTGGCCTATACCTCAGTTCTTCTATGCATAAATACATTTTTTAAAAACTTTAAAAAAGTTAAATCTGCCAAGTCCAGAAATACCCTGCTTCACCAGCTCTGAGAGTGCTGGAAAGTCATCAGCTAGCACATACCACTTGCTGTGATTCAGCTCCCACTTAGGCCCGGTTCCTCCATAATGTGAAGAAAAATTAGTGATCATAAAGGTTGAGCAACAGTCCCCATTCATGAGGTCTACCCTGCCTTCAAGTTTTGAGATGGCTAACTGATTTGTTTGTCTCGTCTTGATGTCCTTCTCAGAGACGAACTGTGATTTCTTAGTGGTTTTGAAAATCTCAAGTTCAGATGAGGACTTTAAATAGACATTCTATTCTGTTCCCCCATGGGAGGGGAAATGGGGAGAATAGGGAGGGTCTGGGACCACACCCTATTAATGTGCCCAAATTGAACATGGTTTTACTGCGAGTCTTGAAAGTGTATTTTGGTCTTGTGCTTCTTAAGAAAATGCCCCTCCCTGGAGGGAGAACTCCTAAAGCAGTGAGCCCTCGCAGCTAATTAGACAGCTCCCTTTTGAAAAATGGCAGTCTGGATAGTGAAGGCACATGTATACGGTTTCACACACACTTCTCTATCCCTGGCATGACTTATCTGCACCTGCCCTGCCCCCTCCAGTTCTTCCTTCATGCATACCTACCACAAAAGCTTTGGTTGTCTGCTCATCTGCCCATCCTCAAATATCACGCTGCTGATCTGAGGGTGGGGGGTTCACCTCACATGCTGGCCATCGGATAGCCCTCACTCCCCGACGGCCACCAACTGCATCCCAGAAGGATGCAGAAGGAACCTGCAATTGCATCTGCACTATGGTCACCACTTTCATTAAAACTGAGAAATTTGGCAATATCCAGATACATAAAAATATTGAAAGATATGAGCAAGCTCAATTTTCTTCAACATTTGCTTTTTGAAAACACATAGAGAACACTGCATAGTGTATGCCGCGAACACCACCATCCCAGAGGAAGCCCATAGAGTCTGTGTATTTGAAAGACAGGGTTTCCTAACCTCCAACATAATTGAGAATGATTTAATACTGTGTGAGAACCCGGTATGGGAATAGGCTGTGTCAAGTGGCGCCCTGGACTGAGCCCCGCTCCTCAGCTGCTGTGCTGGGAAGCTCAGCGAGCAGGAAGCCGAACCATACACAGAGGCTGCACAGCTGAGTTTTAGAGATGCCCTGAGAAGGAGTTTCTTTAACTCATCCCAACAAATATTCCCATGATGGATTTAAAACACATAGACACAAGTCCTGTGTATAAAGTTGCTATGGCTACAAAAGGAAAGAAATCCCTGTGAACGCACACAAAATGAGGTCCTACACGGAAAATGATATCCCCTGGAAAGAGCTTTGAAAGTCGGAGATACTGCCCTGAGCATGCGGCTCTTGTGCTGGGCCGCAGAGACCCCTGTGAACATGCCACGTGGCATTTGCTGTGCGGGGAAGCTCCATTCAGTGCCACCAAGTCCAGGAGTGGGGGAGGGGAGGTGAACAGACATACAGCCTCAGCCTGTGCTGTTATTCGTTTATTTTCCACATGTGATGTCATAAGCAAGGGTTTTGCCCGTGTTTTCCTTTATCTCCAATAAATAAATAACTATGTACAAATGTGCTGAGTTTACAAAATAGCAGAGGAAAACCTTTGCATCACCAAAGATACACTTAATCTGATACATTTTTGTTCCTACGAGGAAGTCACCAATTTCTAGCTTAGTCGAACCAAAGCTCTTCTACCCTGTGCAGCAACGTCAAGAGAGGTGTGTACCTAATCTTTTCTATCAAAAAGCAAAGCTGGAAAATAAAAATTCCTCAGTTTCTTGAGAACAAAGGGCCTAACTTGGCCTGCTACTCATTATTGGACCATAGTTAATATACTTCAGGAAGTAGGGAACTGCCTGGAACAATTTTCTTCAAACTATAGTGGGCAGACAACCTCCTTGAAGATCTGATTAAAGTGCAGCCTCTCCTGCAGTAGAGGAGGAGAGCCTGACTGTACATCTCCCACCAGCTCTCCCAGACAGACCCCACTTTTATGCAGGGGCCAGATTCCAATCTGTCAGACCTGGCAGGGTTCTTTGAAGTGAACAAGGTGGGGCTCCTAAGTCCTGCAGATGCCATCTCCAAGCTCCCAAACCCCACAAAACCAGTACAGCTGGTTTTAGTTACACTTATAATTTATAATAAGTGCGAGTTAAATGGTTATGAACCATGCAGCCCAGAACTTTCTTAACCTGTCTCCTGGAAGTCATTCCATTCATTTTCAATGAAAAAGAAAATAAGTGAACATCTTAACATTGTCTAAAATTAATCATAACAATAACAATAACAATGGGGAAAGAAATTGCTTAAGAAACTTAACAACTATTATTATCATCACCATTCAGTCCAAACCAAAACAGCAACAACAATAAAACCCAGGCTCACTGTTTAAAAAATAAAAATAAAAAACTCCTTGGGTTTAATTTCTCTGACAGCCCATTAACATTATTTTAACAAATGCTTCTCAGTCTTATCCTTTGTTAAAATGATATTACTCTCAAAAGCGAAAGGTTCAGAATAAATTAGCAAATCTGTGAAAGATCAAATGCCCAACCATTCTTACTTTTAGTGTTTTCATTTCTATTTCACATGGAAATTCTGCTCAGGCAGACAGCTGAAAGCAAAAGTAAGATCAAAGGCAGATAGGGCAGTATGGGGTCCTTGACAGAGCTCCTGAGAGAGGAAGTGGGGGTGGGGGGTGGCTTCATTGATGCAGAAGGACTGGGGGGGAAATTCCCAAAATAGTTAAATGTGGCAGGACAAGTGGGAGCATAGAACTACATAGATAGGGAAGGGGGAAGTGAGTGGGAGGAGTGAGGGTTACAGAGCACACCTGCAGAAGAAAAGCCAACTAAAGGGGGAAAGACCTTAAAACCTAAAAAATAAATATTTGATCATCACCAGCTATTCATTTACACTCACTAGTCCATCCACAGGATCACAGTCTGCCCAAAGGGCTGCTGACCAATAGTGCTCACGCTGCCTGTGCCCAGGCGAGGGCATGGGACACTGCAATCTGAGTCTTCACTGCCATCTCGGCCTGCTTGTCCCATGACATCTGTCATGCATGTGGCTGGGGTGCATCCTCCTTCCAGACTCCCTCCTCCACCAGGCACAGAGTCGGCGGCAAGAGGTGTGGGGCGTCTTCTCCAGTTCTGATGCCAGCCAAGGTAGCCAGGGAGTCAGGCTGGGGGCAGTGGGGAATAAGACAGTGGGCAGGGAGAACCTTCAGAGTTTTTGAGGCGTCCTCACTTGCTGCAGGACCACCTCCTTAGCAGGGGACCCACACTTATACTCCAGTTCAGCTCTCATGGCCCCTTGCTTTTTGCGCAGGTGACAGAGGAGAGCCAAAAGCGCCACGACAAGAGACAGGCTTGCAATGGAGATGCCAATGAGCACCCCAGAATGTACAGGTCCTGTCGGGGATGGGCTCAAGGTAGCAGTAGGTGTTGGGCGAACGGAGGGCTCCCCAGAGCCTTCCTCATCTTGTACCTCACTGATGTCACAGTCAGTGCCAGCCTGGCCAGCAAGGGCCGAGTCCGGCCCACAGAGGCACTGGTAACTACCAGGGAGGTTGCGGCACTCGTGTGGACAGTAGTTATTGTCACACTCGTCGATGTCAGTGCACATGGAACCGTCGTCCAGGATGTAGCCATCAGGGCACTGGCAGTTGTCTGGGTTGTTGGGGTCACAGTCAGCTGGACACGAAGTTTGGTTACAGAACATCTGGCACCTGCTGGGGTCATCGGCTTTGGGCACAAAGCCCTCTGCACAAATGCAGCGGTAGTCAGTCTGGCCCAGGGGTTGGCACTGGTACTCGCAGTCAGTCCCAAAGCACGGGTCCAGGGGCTCTATGCATTCACCATCCAGCAGGTCGTAGCCAGGGTAGCACTGGCACTCGAAACCACCTTGTGTGTTCACACAGCGCTGTGGACATAGGCTGGGCACTTGCAAACAGTCGTCCACGTCCTCGCACCGGTGCTGGTCAGCAGCCAGCTGGTAGCCCGTTTCACACATGCAGGTGTAGGCGCCGGGCACGTCCGGGTTGCGTACACAGAAGTGCTCGCAGAGGGACTCGCAGGAGGGCTCCACAGGTGCTGTGGCGCAGGAGCGCCCGTCGGCCTGCAAGACTGCATCACCCAGGCAGAAGCAGTGGGACGCCCCGGCGCTCTGGTTGCAGGAGTGCTCACAGCCGCCATTCTCCACGCTGCAGTCCCAGGCGCCCGGAGTCACCCGGTCCCAGCGCGCCTCGACCTCTCCAGCCACCGCCGAGCACACCAATTCCACTCCGAAGGGCGCCACCGTGGCTGAGCTACCCTGGGGAAGCGCCTGGAAGTCTGCGCCGCTGGCCCCGAAGGGAGTGCTGTAGGTGATGGAGACGTTGGCTGCTACTGCGGCGCGGGACTCCACCGCCAGGGGCCTGCAGGAGGCTGCGAAGTGGAACTCGCACAGGAAGCCCTCGGCCTCCGCTGTGCACTGCCGCTCCTCCCAAGCCGGCTCTCCGGGTGCAGGCGACCTGACGGTGGAGACAGCCACGCACAGCGGACCACAGATGGGGGTCCGGCCCTCCTGGAGCCTCTCCCACCTGCTGTAGCTGGTGCTGTTGTCGCCCGTAACCCACTGGAAGCCGCGCAAGGGCCCGAGGTGCCCCGGGTCCTTGCAGCCCGGCGGGAACTGCAAGCCGATCCAGAGGTTTGGGCCGTTGTCACTGTCTCCGCTTAGTAGTAGTGAGATGACATCAGCAGCCACCGAGGAGCGCACGGTCATCAGGTGGCCCTGCAGATGCTCGCACACCTGGCTGGCAGCAAGGAAAGTGGCGGGGCCCCGGAAAAGCGCAAAGCAGTCATGCTCGACGCACTGGCTACCGCGGGGTTGCGGGTCTGTGGGCACCGGGAGCCCCAGGCCAGCCGGGGCCAGCATTCCAAGGAGAAGGACCCGGAGCATGCTGTCCAGGCACGCCGCGTGCAAGCTCTGGGGCGAGCACAGGGTCCGCGACGGGGCGGGTTCCAAGCCCAGGCTGAAAGGCTCAGCGCACCGCTGGCGACCGCAGCTTGAGTGGGTCCCAACTTAGATTAGTTTGTCCGCAGACGCGGCGCCTGAGCGAGGCAGACTCTGACATGCCGGCAAGCCAGGGCCCAAGTTTATAAGTGCGCCCCCCCCACCCCACCCCCCGCCCTGGACGTTCAGGAAAAGGAAGGAAGTGCCTAGTGGGAAGGGCTGATACTGCATTCTCGGATTACTGGGTTCTCGGGACGCCTTGCGCCCGCCCTCGCGCCCGGGATCACCTCGCCGGGATGAGTAAAACCGGCAAATCTGGGAGGTCCCTGGGCGGAGCCACCAGGCGCAATCGCAGAGGGTGGACAGCACCTCTGTCAGCGAGGCGACAGCCTCCGACCCGCCTCCTGCCCTCACCCCCGTCCCCAACTGAGCCCCCAGCTCAGAGCCCCTCCTTAAGGAGGGCGGGAGAGGTAAAGTCCAGGACTTTCAGACCTCTAGGAGGTGCAGTCAGTAAGAGCACTTTGGGAGGGGCTGCTTAGGGCGTGGACTTCCCCCCAAAGATAGCAAGTAAAGGACTAGACAGACCCGCCCTGGGCTAAGGCGCCTATTTCGGCCGACCACTGAGTGCCCTTAGGTCCAGAAAACAGAGGGTGTAACCAGGGCAACAAGACAAAGAGGTGGGGGGTGAGAGGAGTAGACTGCTTCCCCCTGCCCAAGGCTAGGGACCCAGGAGCAAGGTTTGCCAAGACTAGATCTCATCTCAGTGGCAAAGCCGCAGGGTACTGTGAGGGTTCCAAGTGCTCTCATCCTCAGAAGCAGCAGCAGGAGATTTGCTGGGGGCACCTGCTTTAGCCTGTTGGGGCTGCCTACTTCCAGTTTCACAAAGGGACAAGCTGTCAGGCACAGCTGATCCAGCGCTGGGAGCACTAGCATGCAGGCTTCAAGGAACTCAGGTCAGAATGAAAAGGAGGTGTCTGTGAATGCCACATGAGCACCAAGGGGCGTTGAGGAGGGCAAGCCTACACCCCGTCAGGGTGGGAGCTCTGGGAGGAGATGAGAATCTCTTGCTTTCAACCTTTTCCGCTTATTCACTTACCAGGAATGTGGAAGGTGCGTCCAAAACATAACAGAGTGGCAACGATTTTTTGTGTTTGTGTTTTTTTCCCCCAACACCCTTTGCCCTCTCTGCTGTGGCCGCTCACACGAAGCACCAGAAGACGTCGCTGTTGAACTCTAAACCAAACCACCTAAACTGGAGGGTTAAGGGAGGAGTAGGGCTGGGAATGCTGAGATCTAGCTAGGGGCTGGAAAGTTGTTTCTCAGGAAGCTCCAGGTGGATTCCACTGCTCAGGGGTTCCTGTTTCCCTGGTTCAGCAGAACCCAGAAAGCAGAGAGTGTGTTGCCCTCACAAAAAAAAGAGCACCTGTGAGTGGGACTTCACTGACCCATAGTGACCATGGGGTGACCCTGGAGACAATGAAAGTGAAGAGAGGGGAGGGTATAGTCAATATTGGTTCAGTCCCCAACACCTGGGGCCTAAGGGATGAGGGGATGGGAGGGGGAAAGAGAACATTCCCCTGAGCACAGCTTTATCCTGGAGAAGCACCCTTGCCCCATGACTGCACAGAAACCCACAGAGACCTTAGGGTCAGGCTCTCTGAATGTGCATGCCTGCCCTGTGGGAAGAGGAAAAAAGGCCCCCTGATTAGAGTCTGACTGTCCCCCTAGGAGCAGGGCAGGCCCTGGCCGGACATTCACATAGGCCTGGGCTGATTCAGGGGCCCTGGGCACCCCACTGTAGCACCCCACTGCAGCCTGGATCTTCACTGAGCTCAGCTACTTCACTGCTGAAAGATTCCAGAAAGTGGGGAACATTGCCTGGGTGCTTGAGACAAGAGAGGGACAGGCCCAGCTATGCTCTTTTTCAAAATTTACTAAGAATTTCATTTACTGCACCAGTTAAGCTTTAACAAAAGGTGGCCCTCTGCTGAGACTGCTGGTCCCTTAGGAGTTGAGCTGCAACCCAACGACCTGGCACCAGGTCTTGTCCCTCTGCCGCCAGGACACTCACTCCTTGGGTCTAGCTGACCACCACAACCATGTCTTTGGTGGGACAGCCTATCAGGTCTCCCTGAGGCCATTATTGATTCTCTCAAAGGTGAAAGTAAATGAACAAACGAACAAACAACATCCGCAACAAAAATAAATAGGAAGTCAGAAAACAAACCTAGTACTTGAGTCCTGGTGATAAGCAGATGGTTCTGGTGAGACCTAGAACCCCCTGTAGTAAAGTTGGATGTTCCCAGATTAGCAAGAAAGCAGAGTTACCAGGCAGTGGCAGCGATGGCCTTGGCTGTGGCCGGCAGCCCTGAGGCTATCCCACAGAAGGACAGACAGACACCACTCCTCTAGCCCTCAGCACACTTCGCTCTGCTTTCCAGAGCCGCCTCTTCCCCTTCTTCAATCATTCCTTTGAGGTTTTCTTTTCATCCATCTTCAACTGCCTGCCTTCTGCTCTTTGCGTCTGCTACACCAAAGCAGATCATCTCTCTCAATGATGTGCCCACCTTCCTCTCCTGAGCCACCCTAGCCCTCTGAAATTCTGAAGACTGGTTTTCATCTTCATCCATCTAGCTGTCTCTGTGCTGTTTGCATTCTTGAACCCTCACTATTCTCAAGTCTCTTTCCCATGACTTCCAAGAGTCCTGTCCATTCTCCTCTCTGCTGTCTGTCTGGAGGTGACCTCTCTGGCCCTATTAACCCAGTGGGGTGGCCAGTACCCAGGGTCTGCCCATGGTGTTCACCAACCTCTTTATATTCCCCTTTGTCATATTCACCCTTCCCACACCCCCTTTACCCCCCAAACATTAACCCCCATCCCATCCCTTTAACTCTTCCTTTCCCTGTATCAATATTTGAGTCACCTAGTTTGAAATCATCAGCAATGCCTCAGGTTACCTCATCTCTCTGCCTTATCCTTCCCCTCATGTCTGTTACTGCTGAGACAGGTCTATCCCTTGCTTCTTTTCTCTTACTCTTCACCCCTGCCAGCAGCACCTAGTTCCTCACACCCCTCAGTCTCACTCACATACCATACCTTCCCTGCTCTGCAAGTGAACATGCACACATATGCCTTTACTACTCCTGCAGTTGGGCTTCCTGGGGGTGCGCCTAGTTCTTGTACAAATGTGTTCCCCCTATGCCTCATAGCATGCTTTGTACACAATGGTGTGGAGAAATTATCTGAGCACCTGTTCTAGATGGTTCTTTGTGCCTCCCTCAGGTATGATTTTCTGTATGGACAAGGATGGGGGACCTCAGAGCCCAAGGATTAGAAGTTGGCTTTGGAGTCAAGCTCACTGGAGTGGGGTCTCAGCTCCATCATTTATAAATCGTGTCATATTGGGCCTTAGTTTCCTGAACTGTATGATGGGAAGAATAGTAGACAATTATCGTGAAGGTTAAATGAGTAATACCCAGAAAGCAATTGGAACAAATGCATAGTAAACACAAATTTTAGCATAAAAAGTGTACACTCAGGTGCCTAGTATTTGAATTCTACCACTGATTATATTTAATGCTTTCTTTAGTAGAGACTCAGTCAATATCTGTTGGTTAAATTTAGTACAACTGAGCATTTTCCCCAAAATTAACAGCCAGCAATTGTGGAGAAAAAAAATCAAGGACAAAAAATAGTCACGGACCTAGGAGAAAAGAGAATAGAATTGAAGAGACTCATGGAAGCAGTCCTTAGGTCCCTGTGTATAAGGGGGCTCTGTTCAAGCTTCAGGCCAACTCCTTGTCTGCCTAGAGGCAGCTGTTAATTCATCATTCCAGATGTGGAAGCTGAAGAAAGAGTAAGTGATTTCCCAAGGCCACACAGTTAGTAATTGTGAAGCTAATTACTGGCCCACTTTACACTGAGTATATTGGGATACATCTGAGCTCAATTTTGCCAGTGACCAGCTTTTAGAAGTTGGCTGAGTTACTTAAATCTCTGAGTTTTCTCCCCTCAAAACTGGAGCTCGAATATTTCATATACAGGGCTGTTGGGAATATTAAACAAAAAATATATATACACACAGAAATGAATACCTTTCCAGAAGTACAGAAGCTATTCAATAAATAAAATTTTAGTAACTGCAAAAGAAAAGCTTCAGAAAAGACCCCTGAGGTCATCTCTGTCTGGGAAATCTGACTATTGGACGGGAGATTCTGTTTGATGTCTGTGTAGGAGGCGAAACTAGCCACCTAGGTGGTGAGCAGACTTCAGCCCTCTGTCCTGAAGAGAAACATGTGTGCATGTTGTTAACACCGAAATGAAAAGAGGTTCAAACATAGAGCAGGCCAGGGGCAACCAAGCCAAATTGCTGTATCATGTGCAGAGGGCGGCTTTTCTCCTAAGATATGTAAAAGGAACTTTCTAGTTCCAACACACTCACCTGCCCTTAGATTGGTTAACTCCCTTCAAGTTGGCAAGTTATATTTACAAGTTTATTTACAAGTAATATATGTCAAAGATAATCAGACTTTATAAGGGAAACTTTAAGATGAACATTAAAATTAAGTAACTATTATTAGGCCTTATTAAATACCTTAATTTTATTTTAACCTTCATTTTAATTGTAATGATTTAAATATTAGGAAGAAAAATTAAAAAAAGAAAAACATTCTGAGACATAAATGTATTAAAATGTAGACAATAAAGTGAATCCAATACTGGAAAAAAAATGCCTTAATATACATTGAATAGAATAAATATCCTGCAAATGTTTTCAGTAAACAACAGCATGTCAGCACAGCAGAACAAATGTTTTACTAAATTTTGACTCTTTCCCAGGCCTTCTTCCAGAAGCAAGGTAAAATTGACAATCCTTTATTTATTCATTCTCTGTAAAAGGAAATATGTTTTATCTCCACAAAACCCACAGCTAATATTGAACTTGGTGGTGAAAGAGTAAAAGTAGTCCCCTAAGATCAGAAACAAGGTTAAGATGTCCACTCTTGTCACTTCTATGCCGCACAGTGTCTTGGGTATTTTAACAGGGTGATTAGTAATAAAATGAAATAAAGATCATCTCGATTGGAAAAGAAGAT